TTGACGATACAATAGCTCGAGTTTCGCACCTACCGCGCAATTCCTTTTTATCAGCGAATATCATTTCAGCGAGCGTTCGTTCGTTTGACGCATGTTTCAGATCATCGTGAATCAAGCGTTTCGATACTCATAATGAAAGCCATAATCGACGCCACTCGTCGGTCACATTGCGACGAATATAGATTATCATTCCAATACGATGATCGGTCATGTAGCGACTTGCAGGTTCATCGTTTACAGCTATTCGATCGTCTCGGATACCTTCGGCCAACAGAACGCCACGCTCCACATTGGTTGGATCGCACGATATAAAGTTTTCGCGTATTCGCATCTAACCAAGCGCCGAATAGTCGCGCATTTCGATATTTCCGTTGACGAGTAACCTGCGCGACGTAACGCCACGTCCGACACGCGATAGACTTTCTCGATGTTATAGAAATATGAAAAGTACAAGGAGGCGCATTGGAGAACGTATTTGTGCTCGGATCCGATGGATAATGTGCCAATTAGGCATTCGGTTCCTCCCTGACACTGGCTTGCAGGATCCGCGCATCTGTGAGACAGTTGCCCAAATTGGTCTGAATACTGCCTATCGCGATAGCGCAATGTCTCTTCCGCGAATAACGAACGCATCAACAGTTCTCTGTCGAAATCACGTCCTATCGCGTACACGATTCGCAATTCACGCAGTGGTTTCTCGATGGATTGCCGTTCGTATTCGATTCGACGGCATTGCCCTGGGACGAGACGACGCGCACGTATAGCCCGCTGATACCACCAACGATGAACCTCCTTAGGCCTCTTTTTACACTTATTCGTGACTTGCAAAGACATGTTGTGCATTTTCTCTCTCTCTCTCTCTCTCTCTCTCTCTCTCTCTCTCAACTTATTCACTCATGGCCATAACGAGAAGCGTGACTTCAGAACTGCCCCATATGGTAGGCAGTCCCGGCATATATTTTTCGCATCGCGGTCGCTCACGTTTCGTTCTATCGAGTCGCGCCGGTCGACAACGTGAGCCCGCGCAAAAAAATCGCCCCATTCTATATATGTTAACGCAAGTATCGGAGTATAGAGCAGTAATCCGTGACTCTATTGTACTTCTTGACTGTTCTATGATAGAGGAGATGCGAGTGTTCCGATTCGGCGCAGAGTGCGAGAGGGAACGGTAGGTTGCCAATCTGTACGTGTGAAAGAGATGTTGATGGAAAAGTCGTTTCATTCGAAGGGATCGGGGGTCGCGCGTATATTTTAATTTTAGCATTAACTGTCTCTGGTCTTGGCCAAGTTTTGTCTGAACACATGCGCCTATTTGTGTTTCGTTGTAATTTTGGCTACTTCTTCGCAATCATCAAGTCTAAGTCGTCGATATTTTCATTAGTCTGTCGCTCTCGTTTTATGTGAAGAGATATCGAAATACGGGCGGAATAACATATTCGACTTAGACGAATTATTGTGTTACAAAAGTATCTCATCTCGTCCGTAAGACACGTTCAAAATGATTCTAGTTGGCTCATTACGACCTTCGCTATGGCTCAAACACTATTTAATATTTCTATCATCATCGTTGTGGCCTCAACCAACTTTACATTTGCCGCGTGGAGTGTCACAATGTCAGCATTCAGAACAGTATCGCTGTTTACATCGCCATGTTGTCGTACACTTTGCCGCTGAAATCTACAGTCGCTTTCTCACTCCAATTGGCATCTTTCTCATCGCATCACTCTGCGCTTTTCTCAGCGCTAGAAGTAACTTTCTTTCCTCCGCTTCAAAATCTGCGCTCTCGTCGCCATGCGCGTTTGTATCCTTACGGTTGCTCACACCTTCACGTTCGTCCAAATCGGTAGCTACGAAACTGGAACGCGAAACAGGGGCACCCTCAAACTCCTTGTTCTGTTCTTTGCCCCTGTCAGTATCGCTTATTTCGCTCCGAGCAGTATTAGGAGCGCGCTCAAGAGCATCGTTCGTAGCGACACCGTCGTGTGCACTTTCCATGTCGCGATCGAAATTTTCAGTGTTACCATACGCAATCGACATATACACAATCAAAGCTACGATGGTACTGAAGAGAGAAATTATAGAAAAAATGTGCAAACGAGACGACCACGCCAGTTTACCACAGTTATCATTTCGATGTCGGCATTTATCTCGAGATGTTTGAATCGTGTTCGCTCCTTGGCGAAGCGAGCAAGAGGCCGGGACGGCTCAGCAATGAGCGCGGGGTTGGTCGTGAAAGGAAGATGATCGTCGCTTTGGTTTCTCGTGGGATCGGTCCTCCGTTTCCTTCCTAATAAGCGTCGACGTTCGTCGAGGCGCTGGGAGGCCAATGCTCGCCAGTTCAAGCGCGAGCACCACTCGAACACGATCCCAGTTTTATTATATAAAATAATACAAAATAAACTTTGACAATTCTGGTCGATTGATCGTATGAAGCGCGTCCGCTCGAATCGCAATGCGTTGAGGCCGCACTCGTAGTTCGTCTGATGAGGTCCGACCGGAGCGGTCGGGCAGCGAATTCGATAACCGAACGAACAACGGAGCGGAAACGAGTTGTAAAAATACTTGCGAGCGGTTTCGCTTGAAGAAAGATTCTGTTCGAAGCGAGGAGCCGAAAAACGTTCGTCACTTCGATCTTACATTGTTTTTAGTTTTTTCCGTCGCTCGGAGAAGATTGGTAACCGCTCTTGTCGAAAACGTGACCATATTTGGCGGTCACATGCGGACCAAACGTGACAATAACAACGCGGTGCTCGATAGCAAACATGCACGGCGTTCTCACGTGCGAGTCACGCAGGATGTCTCGTGATATCGAGAATCCTCGATTTTGTCGACACAAAGAGCGGCGCCTTGGACGGATCGCAAACATTCCGCCCACCTTGAAACGCTTGTTTCGAATTCCGTTGGTCCTACTCGGTCTCGCAGTGGACCGGCAGCAGGCAAATCTTTACGATAGGCCTTTGAAGGGTGGAGTTGGCGGTGCGGACGGTAACCACCCGAGTGAGCCCGTCGGGACCGGGGTGACACTGCGTCACTCGCCCCAACTCCCACTTGCACGGCGGCAAGGTGGTATTGCGGATCAAGACCATTTTTCCGACCTGGATAGACGGCTGCACCTTCCTCCATTTTCCTCGTTGTTGTAGAGTGTTCACATAGTCGTGATACCACACCCGCCAAAAACGCTCGGTCAGCTGCCGCACGAGTTGCCACCGGGTCAACCGGTTCTCCGATATGTGGAGAGTCGACGGCGACGGAGGCAGACCGAGGTCGGACCCGACGAGCAGATGACCGGGCGTGAGCGGCTCGTAGTCATCGAGCGAGTCGGAAATCGGCGCGATCGGTCTTGAGTTAAGACACGCCTCAATCTGACAGAGCAGAGTAGCGTACTCCTCGAAGGTCAGAGTGTAGCTCCGCAGTACGCGACGCACGTGGTGCTTGACGCTCTTAATGCCGGCCTCCCACAACCCCCCGAAATGTGGCGCGGCTGGAGGGATGAATCTCCAGTTGACTCCGTCGAGCGCGGTGGAACTTAGAAAGTTCGGGTCGCGGAGCGCTGCCCGATAGGCCACGGTCAGCTCACGATCGGCTCCGACGAAATTGGTGCCGTTATCCGAGTAAACGGTGTTGGGTATTCCCCGACGAGCGGCGAACCGAGAAAACGCTTTCAAAAATGCCCGAGTCGAGTAATCGCGTACGAGCTCCAGGTGCACGGCGCGAGAGGCTAAACATATGAATAGAGCGATGTACGCCTTCCGCGTCGCTATACCTCGTCCTGCAGAGGCACGCACGAGAACTGGCCCGGCATAATCGACGCCGCAATGTGCGAAACAGCGAGCCGGAGCTGAGACTCGGACACGTGGGAGGTCCGCCATAATCTGGGATGGCACGGCGGCGCGCTCGCGAGCGCACACCACGCAGCGGTGTATTTGCTCCCGCACAACGCCCCGACCCCGAATCACCCAAAAGTCGCGCCGAACGATGCTCAGGGTTAGCTGCACGCCGGCGTGTAGCCCACGTACGTGAGCATGATCGACGATCTGTTTCGTGATACGATGCGACGCGAGCAGAATCGGATGACGCCGAGTCCAAGGCAGGGGAGCGCGCGATATCCGACCGCCGACGCGGAGAAGACCCTCCTCATCGAGAAACGGTCGAAGCGCGAGAATCGAGCTCTTCGACGGTAATTCCAAGCGATTCGCAAGCCTGTGCAGTTCCTTTGGGAACAACGCAGCTTGGATCTGCTTCAATAATCGCGTACGCGCCCCCGAACACTCGCCCGCCGTGACGCCCGGGCCCGCCGGCTCACCGGATGAATCTCCCGTAAGACGGCGACGACATCGCGCGATAAAGCGCATGATGTACGCGGTAACGCGAACCAACTTTGGCTACGAAGAATAGCGCTCGAGGAGCAGCGAGTTGAGCGATGCGGGTTCAGTGGCGAGGTGCGTCACGACCCTTTCCTCGCTCAGCGCCTCCGCAGCCGAGGCATCCCCGAAGGATGGCCAAGCGTTTGGCGGCGACGTCAACCACGACGGGCCTCGCCACCAGAGATCGTGCTTGAGAATTTCCAGGCCGAGCAACCCGCGCGACGTGCAATCAGCGGGATTGTCGGCCGTCGGAACATGCCGCCATTGAACGCGCGGGAGGCGCGCGTGCACCTCCGCCACCCGATTCGCGACGAAGGTCCTCCATCGTGATGGGTGCGCCGCCAGCCACGACAACATGACCGTCGAGTCAGACCAACAGCAGCATGTTGCATTGTCGTAACCTCCTGCCGTCCGCACGAATTCGACGAGACGCGAGAGGAGCACGGCGGCCGAAAGTTCGAGACGCGGGATGCTCATTGGCTGCAATGGAGCGACGCGTGATTTGCCGGTGAGCAATGTGATGATCACTTGACCTGAGTGCGTTGTTAGTCGCAAATAAACAACGGCAGAGTACGCGGAGTTAGACGCGTCCGCGAATCCATGCAGCTCCGCGCGTCGAATGTCGCGCCCGAATCCGGTCCATCGCGGAATGCGTAGTCCATCCAAGGCGGATAGATTCGAGAATATTGCCCGTCAGCGCGACGCCAGCATCTCGGGAATCGGGTCGTCCCATTCAAGTTGCCGTCGCCACAAGTGCTGCATAAAGATTTTGGCGCTGATCGTGATCGGAGTGACCCATCCGAGTGGATCGTACAGTTTGGCGATAGTCGATAAAATGGAGCGCTTGCTCTCGGGGACGCAAGCTGGCAACGACACGCTGATTTGAAAATTGTCTCCCGCGGGCGTCCAAGTGATCCCGAGAATCTTTACGCTCTCATCAATCGCGAGTGATCTGGTGCACGCGAGTCCATGATTCGCCTCATCGAGGTCTGCGAGAAGTGCGGCTGAATTCCCGGACCATTTACGAAGTTCGAAGCCGCCTCGCCGTAGCAATGCTGTGAGCTGATTCCGGATTTCGATCGTCTGCCCGACGTCGTCGCTCCCGAATAGTACATCGTCGACATAAATGTTGTTTTTCAAGAGCGGAGCGGCGAGAGGGAAATCGCCTCCGTCATCAATCCTCAATTGCTGAAGGACTCGCAACGCAAGAAACGGAGCACAGGACATGCCGTAAGTCACGGTCATTAATTGATATTCACGCGGCTCGTCATCCGGCGCCGGGTGCCACAAGATCCTCTGATAGTCGACATCGCGGAGATCGAGCTGAATTTGTCGATACATTTTTTCGATGTCGGCCGAACACGCGTATTTGAAATTACGCCATCGCAGCAGTACGGACGATAAGTCGGTCTGCAGCTTTGGCCCGGCGATCAAATGGTCGTTTAAACTCGAGCCGTTAGTCGTCGGACTCGATGCGTTAAAAACTACACGCAATTTTGTCGTGGCGCTATGAGAACGAAAGACTGGGTGATGCGGTATGTATGCGACTTGCGAAGACGCGTCTGAAATCTCCGGTGCGCGTCTCATGTGTCCGCTGAGTTCGTATTCGCGCAAAAACTCGTCATATGCTCGTCTTTGTTCCGGCTTTGTTTGTAAACGACGCGTAAGTGCGGCAAGGCATCGCACGGCGCGCGAGCGCGAGGATCCGATATCGATCGGCGGTCCGCTGCGAAACGGCAAGCGGACGACGTATCGACCTTCCACCGTTCGCGAATGCGTCGAGACGAAGTGTCTCTCGCACCGCTCGTCATCGGGCGTCCGCTCGACGGCTCGCGGAACCTCCTCGACTTCCCAAAATCTCCTCATTTCATCCTCGAGTGAAATCTCGGCCTTACAATGATGCGCCGAAATTACTACGCTCGACGCCTGAGTAGCGAGCGCGCACGCCCGCACCCTAGGCGCAGAAGCCCGGGTGATCGGACCTGATATAAACCACCCGAACACCGAGTTCTGCGCCATGAGTTGACCGTCGCCTCCTCGGCGAAGGCCCTCGCGAACAATATCGCTATAGAGATCCGCCCCGATGATCAAATCGATTGGATCCGAGCTGAGCGGATTCGGGTCGGCCCAGCGCAGATCCGCGAGATGCGTCAAGCACGACGCATCCACTTCGCAATGCGGAGCATACGTCGTGAGCGATCGCAATATTAGCGCGGCGGTGAGCAACGCAGGAGTTTCCGCTCCTCGAGGCGAGACGATGATCTCGATCGCATGCCGGAAAGTCCCCGCGTTGACGCATCCCACAGCGGAGACGGCGACCGGACGACGGAGTCTTTTCGCGCGCAACGCTTTAGCAAGCTTCTCGGAAGCAAAAGTCATCTCGGATCCCTGATCGAGCAGAGCGCGAACGGTCACCGATCGACCGCACGACGCCCGGACCGTCACCCACGCAGTGGCCAAGAGAACGCGAGCGGACCGAGTCCGGTCGTTCGAAGCGAGCAACGCGTGAACCTCCGCTCGAGATCCGGCGGACGACTCACGCACCTCCGTCGCAGCGTGCGATTCGGCAGTGCCGCCACTGGAATCCGCAGCAGCGTGAAGCAGCGAATGATGTCGTTGCGAACATGTGCGGCACGAATATTTACTTTTGCACTCATGCGCGGCGTGATTAGCGCTGAGACAATTGAAGCATCGCCGGTGCTTCTTTACTAGCTCTCGTCGCTGCTGCGAGCTCCCGCGGACAAAGATCGGACACGCACTGAAGTAATGACCAGCCTTACACAGCGGGCAGCGCGATTTCGCGGCCGGCGCATCGATTGCGAGATGAACGCGCGATATCGGAACGGCTTTAGCGCTCGCTTGAGTTCTATCTCCGCTCGAGAATTCCTCGAGCGCCCGGATGCGCGAGGCAAGAAACCGTTCGAATTCGTCGAAGGTCGGCGGGTCAGAATTTTCGGTAGTTCGCAAGTTCCACGCCTTTCGCGTGACCGGATCCAAGCTTCGCGAGCCGATATGCACGAGAATATCGTTCCACAATTGTTCGTTCGATCGCTGCAGATTTCTCAGCGCGGCTACAGTCACGGTGATTTGTCCGCGAAGCGACTGGAGGTCAGAAACGGACTCGCGCGAGAGCGTCGGCAGACTCAACAAGGTTGACATGTGAACGGAAATCAACCGTCGCTTGTTGTCATAGCGTGCCTTTACTGCGTCCCAAGCAACTTTGAAGTTATCGGCGGCGATCGTGAGATTCGCTCAATGCAATCCGACGCGCGACCCCGCAAGCAAGACGACAGATAATGCATGCGCGAGAAATCATTTAATTCTTTATTTTCGATGATGATCGCGGAAAATCGATCGCGGAATGTCGCGGTTCCCAGTCCGTCAGCGTCCCGTCGAACGGCGCGAGCTGAATCGGCGGCAGATGCGCTTGAGACAACGCAGACGGCGCGTGCCGAGCATACGATGCGTTAATAGATTGGTTCGGGCTTACAGGGGGTTCCAGCTCCTCCAATACCTCAGCCATGTAATCCAGCGTGATGTTGTACTTCTCCTCGGTAGCGTCAAATACGTCGTCGGTGAAGTAAACGATCTGCGCCCGGCGGTCCGGCGGGATCGTCTTTTCCAGGACGGCGTGCCCATCGAGGAACTGCAGCCAGATTTCCTTCAGTGTTTGGATCCTGGATCGTGTGACCGCAGGCGTCCATTTGTTGCGTCCTAGCTTCTTGAAGTTGTCGAGAGCGGCGTTTAATTGATGCTGTAATCGTCCTTGTCGTTCCATGGATGCAGACTGGCGGAACTCGGCTTCTCGATGTGCTCTCTTCTTCTACTCCCCGATCCGGCTCGAAGGACCAGCAATATTTTGTTCGCTCCTTGGCGAAGCGAGCAAGAGGCCGGGACGGCTCAGCAATGAGCGCGGGGTTGGTCGTGAAAGGAAGATGATCGTCGCTTTGGTTTCTCGTGGGATCGGTCCTCCGTTTCCTTCCTAATAAGCGTCGACGTTCGTCGAGGCGCTGGGAGGCCAATGCTCGCCAGTTCAAGCGCGAGCACCACTCGAACACGATCCCAGTTTTATTATATAAAATAATACAAAATAAACTTTGACAATTCTGGTCGATTGATCGTATGAAGCGCGTCCGCTCGAATCGCAATGCGTTGAGGCCGCACTCGTAGTTCGTCTGATGAAGTCCGACCGGAGCGGTCGGGCAGCGAATTCGATAACCGAACGAACAACGGAGCGGAAACGAGTTGTAAAAATACTTGCGAGCGGTTTCGCTTGAAGAAAGATTCTGTTCGAAGCGAGGAGCCGAAAAACGTTCGTCACTTCGATCTTACATTGTTTTTAGTTTTTTCCGTCGCTCGGAGAAGATTGGTAACCGCTCTTGTCGAAAACGTGACCATATTTGGCGGTCACATGCGGACCAAACGTGACAATAACAACGCGGTGCTCGATAGCAAACATGCACGGCGTTCTCACGTGCGAGTCACGCAGGATGTCTCGTGATATC